GGTTATTGCACCATTTTTATCTTGTTTGTATTCTAGTAATGAAATGGTAATCCTCCCAGTTAATCAAGGATCAGGAAAAATGTTATGATATGTATTACACAGATAATAAGAATAAAAATGTGGCACTTGCCTGAAACAGCTGGCATCACCATAAGGGGGAGAGAACAGGATCTTGGCAGATGGAACCAGTGATGTGGTAGCAGTCAGCATGGCAGGTTATTTCTTTAACATACTGATGATCTGGTTCAAGTTTCTTCTGCATATCATAGAGAAGGTACAGCATGGGAAAACTTACTAAGGGGGCATATTTCAAAGTTTAGCAAGTGAGCTGTAGACATTGTAGGAGGAGGGACTCAAGCTCTAAGTCAGGAGTGCAAGATGCTAAGATGGGAATAGGTTTTGGGGAGTCTAGACAGTGAAGACATGGTTTGCTTGTACATCTCTCCTCCATAAGAAAAGTGAATTCTAGTTCACACTAGCTTTGTATCTTTTTTTGGTCCTAGCTCTACTGAGTTCCAGCAAAAGATGAAATTGTAAAAAAATAACAAGCACTTATTTTAGGAACTGCATCCAGCAGTTTCTGAATATATGCTTTATGAAGAGGGTACATTTTTAAATATAAACATATTAACATGGTTAAGCATAGCCTATTTCAGGCATAGTTAAGATTTAAAACAGTCTAGGCATACCTTAGATTTAACTTAGCAAATTTAGCATTTTGATTTTTGGCATTTTGTCAGATTTGAAGCTCTTAAAATTCTGTAGGCAGATCATTCTGTTGCTTTTGAAGTGGTTTGTTCTTTCTAGAAAGGTGGAAATGAGCAGTTCTAGTGAGGAGCTTTTGATCTTAATCAGCTATTTGCAGGCAGACTGGCATTAGGAGTCTTTTAAGAAATAAAAAGCAAACCAAGAATTGCAAGTAATGATGATTACACTTCAGACTGAGCTCAAAGAATCTGAACGAGTTTGGCAAGAACTAGTTCTTAGTTTTGTATGAAATGATGGTTTAAAAGGAAGAGATCTAGCTCTTTCTATTTTTAGCTTTTTCCTATGAAACTGCATAATTTATATTTAAGATTTTTACTGTGTGCCAAATAGACATCAGGATGGAGCTAACATACTCTCTGAACTCAGCTTTTTCTACCCCAAAATCAGGGTTTTCCTGTTTGTCAGATTCATTAGTCAAGCACCATTTGCACTGTGACTTGATTTTTCGTATACAAAATGACAACATTCCTGTATTAGTTTTTCCATCACAAAAAGAAACTTCCAGGCAAGGATTCATGGAGACTTCTTTCTGCATAAGGAAAGAGGGAGAGTCAGTCTCCTTTAGGACACTCTGCAGTTGACAACTGTAGTCACAAATTACACATTGAACGTATTAAAAAAATAGGAGAATGAGTTGGAAAGAGGCAAATCATGGGAATATTCACACAGATTTTAATCTTCAATGTGTCAAGTTAATTTTGTGTGAATTGCTAATTTCTCCTCTGCCTGTCTGTCCTGAATGGCTTATACCTGTAGTCAACAGAAACCTACAGAATTTTTCTCTTGCTTATTTCTTAGCTGTGTTTTATGCTTTATTTGGTCTATGTTTGTTCAGGGGTTTAATACCAGTGAAATCTTTTATTTCCTGTAAACTGAAATATTTCTGAGAAGTAATTTCTGTAGCACCTTAGGTTTCTTCCTTGTTTATCTCAAGTAAGTGTGATAATCAAATTCCTAGTGTAAACATCTTGATTTTGAAACGTTGATCATGCTCATAGTTGTTAAATGAGATCTTTTCTTTGTAATGTTTTCCATCCCCAAACATATTGGAAAAGGGCAGATAGCACTGCATATACACTGTGCTACTTGCATTGTAAATGTATGCTGAGCAGCTTGTTGCTTTTACCCTTCCATCCCACTTCCATGGTTTTCAACAGCAGGCACAAACCCTGGCTGGCTAGGTCCTTGACATGCTGTGGCTTTTCCAAGAGCCCACAGGTCAGTAAACATTGTCTGATGGATGGCTGTCTATATGTGTGTTCTTGAAAACTGATTAATCTAACGGTCCATGTTATCTTTTGTTCTGCCTACTCTTGCTGAAAGAAGACTGAAAGTCTCTGGATTGCTCGGTGGGTTCCCAAACCTGCAGTGTGAGTGCTGACTTCTTATGCAAGTGTTCATTTCTAATTCCATGTCCATTACACTGGGCTAGAAATGCCACATTTTCAGTTGTTGCAGGTATCAGCTGATGTTGTCCTTTCCGTGTGTCCTGAAGGACCCTAGAGAGTGGGTTTAGTGGTGGGCTGTGCGTTCCTGGATCCAGATTGTGTCACCTGGCCCATGCGCCACAGGATTTCATAGGTGGTAAAGCTTGCTTGTATTTCAGCTGATTTGGTCCATAATTTTCTTTCACTAAGTTATCTGAGCTCTCAGAATGTACCGATCTGAGCATGACTTTCATTGGGTGAAATCTCTGGTTTGGACAGTCTTACATAATCTGTCCAAAGAGAGAAAAATTGTTATGCTGAAATGAACTTGTAGATCATTTATGTCAATGTCGAATAAGCTAAACACAACTGCGTTCCTTTAGGGAGGACATTTTTGCTGCCTTTTCTATTGACTTTACATAATTTAGTGTAAAATCATGACTTTTGTAACAGCAGGTATATATCTGCCTTACTGTTTGATGAATGTCTCAGTGAATCTTGTGCTCAGATAAGCAGCAGTGTGACAGGTGGTGATGGGTAGTTTCACATGAAGCTTATATATCTATGATAAGGTGCCAAGGTAGAAGTACACAGTTGAAGTTGTTCGGGTCTGAAGCACTTTTTCATGTTCTCAGAAGGCTGTTGATGTTCATTAGACATGCTAAAATTTGTGGAATATAGTCAAGAGCTGGAATATTCAAATCTTCCTTAGTATATGGACATGAATTGCAAACCTACAAAAAGAGCAAAGCTGAATTCAGTGCCATTGTTCACTTTCATGTCTAAACGCCGGAAGCTTTATACCCTTAAGTACAGGAAATCTTGAACTCTGTAATTTAAGAACACCACGCTATTTAATACGGTATAAACTGACTGCTATGTAAATGTAGCATTCTGCAAAAAATGAAGTGCGTTTTGAAAAGTCAAGGAGACATGAAGCCTTTGAAAAAAGGAAGCAAAGACTAAAGGTTTCTTTCATACTCTACAGGAATTTGGCTTGTCCAGAATAGATCTCTAATTGTTCATGCAAAAAACCTCCAGCACTAACAGTATGTGTGACAGATGCAGAGACGTCTGTCCAGACCTGTAGGAACCTGGAACAGGAGCTCTGAGGTACGGATTGCCAGCTTTGCTTCAGTGAAGGCTGTTCAAATACCAACGATGATGGTGCTCTAATACAGATATTGACAACTGTTCTGCTGATTGGCTTAATGGATAAGAAAGGAGAGGAAACATTGAGTTCAATATACAGGTCAATTCCCCTGTCTCTCAGAGCTTCAGTAGTACAACGGTCTAAATGCATATACATAGAAGATTTAAAACCTCAGACAGACAAACTTTCTAAACTTTGGCAATCATCTACTTGACCTGTAGCAAGAACATATCTTTTGCTATTCACAAATGTAGAGCTGGGGTTGTTCTGGAGCCTGGAGAAGAGAGGGCTCTGGGGAGACTTTGTAACAGCATTCCAGGACCTGAAAGGGGCCTATAAGAAAGCTGGAGAGGGATTTTTTACAAGGATATGTACTGATAGAACAAGGTGGGGGATGGCTTTAAACTGAAAGAGGGTAGATTTGGATTGGACACAAGGAAGAAATTCTTTCCTGTGAGGGTGGTGAGGCACTGGCACAGGTTGCCCAGAGCAGCTGTGTCTGCCCCATCCCTGGCAGTGTTCAAGGCCAGCTTGGACAGAGGCTTTGCGCAACCTGGTCTAGTGGAAGGTGTCCCTGCCCATGGCAGGGGGTTGGAACTAGATGTTCTTTAAGGTCCCTTCCAACCCAAACCATTCTATGATTCTGTGATTCAGTCTGTGATTTTATGAATTTAGAGGTTTCCTATAAATAAATCTAGTAGCACTGTTGAAAATGCTTGGTACTGGTGGCTCAGGTGACATTATTAACCTGTTTGAGGTATACAAGAAGACATAAATTTTTTCATAACAGAATGGCCTACAGGTTTGCAATGTATGAATATTTGACTTACATTCATATGCTTGTATATGAAAACATAAATTTGTTCTTATGAAGCACATTATTAAAAGACAACCTGTAAACTAAGCCTCAGGAGCTGTTTGTGTGATGCACAGCTACACTCCTTTGGTAAATTCATATTTGGATTTTGATTAAATGAATGGTGTGCTGAAATCTCTGAAGATTGTTTTTTAAAATTTAGTGGCAAATACTTATCCTTTAATTCTGTTCCTTTGAAGGACTCCTTGATTAATGACCCTAATTTCCTATGAGAGACTTCATCCATATGTATTCTCTGATATTTAACAGAAGGGTCAGCTTGCACTCCAGTCTGTCCTCACTCGTGGGAGAGGACGCTGTCATGAGATTTCAAGACTTTTGTATTGCATTAAAGTGTTTGAAATTGCTCAAAAGCAATTTTGAAACCTTTCCAAAGAGAGATATGATAAGGAAGAGAAGCTCTTCTTTTGATGAAGTTTTTCTGGTAGGATATGGCTGGAGCTCTGTAGTACGCTACAATAACAAACATGAAGAAAATCGTGATATCTCAAGTATTTAATACCATTTCCTGGAAGTGCGTCCCCTGTAGCTACAGATACAATTAATAATGTCATGTAGTGTAACTAACTGATCTTGTGGCATTCCTAAGACTTCATTCGTGGCACATTCATACTCCTTGTTACACAACAGCGGATGTTAGTCAAAGCCTAAAACTGTGTTCATAAGGTTTTAATGTGTGATTTGATTTCATGCGTTTAGAGTTCAAACTCACTACATTTGATGAAGTGTTCAGACAATAAAACAGCCTCTATTTCTCTTTCCTAGTAAGTAACAGATGCGGGTGAAAGATCCTTCAAGAGCCAACCCTGAGAAACCAAAGAGAAGCAAAAGGCCTAACAGGCCGCAGGATGAGGACTCTTCAGATGATATTTCAGGTGAATACACTGTGTGATGTTTGGCCTTGAGATTGAGGGCAAATAACTTATGTGTTGACCAGTGAAACCCACAAATCACTGGTACCATGAGGCACTTTTCTTGTTTGAATTTATAACAGAAATATCCCCAGTCAAGTGTTTATGACATGATCCGTTGTTACACTACCTGACTGCCCTGAAGGGGCAACTCTGGAGAGTTGGTTGATCTTTGGTGACAACCTCTTCAAAGCAGGAGAATGGTCCTTTCCCATGTAGGAAAGGTCAAGCACATGTGGCAAGAGGCTGCTTGGCTGAATGGGAAGCTTCCAGCTGAGCTCATCGGCAAAAAGGAGAGGCAGAGAAGCTGAAAGCAGGTTTGGGCTGCCCTTGCAGGGACCCCAAGTGTGCAGGGTGGGATTAGTTAAGCCAGCCTCTGTTAGAGTTGAATCTGATGAGGGTGAAGAGTAAGGTGGGCTTGTATAGATACTGTGACAGTAAAATGAAGGCAAGTGCAAACATGCTGCTCAAGGGGGTAGAGGACGTAGGGACACCAGGCATGGGAAAAGGTTGAGTAACAAAATCCTGCCTTTGTTTTCACATGTAAGCTCTGCTCTCTGTCCTCCCTGGTGCCTTAGCCTAGTGGCGGACTCTGGTGTTTAAGCATTTCCTAGATTAGAAGAAGATTGAGAGCTGGGCACATACAAGTCCATGTGATCAGATGGGATGCATCTGATGGTGCTGAGGGAGCTGGGTGATGTCACTGCGAGGCTACTCTCTGTCATCTTCATAACAACAGACTGAGGAGAGCAGGTGATATGCTGGAGGGTAGGTCTGCTGTTCGGGGTGATCTAGACCAGCAGGAGAAATGGGCTGGCAGAAACTTCTTGGAGTTCAACAGAGGCAAGTGGAGAGTTTGGCACCAGAGCCAAAATAACCACAAGCAATTACAGGGTGTGAATCAGTGGCTTGAAAGTAGCTTTGCAGAAAAGGTCCTGGGGTTCCCGTGCACATGCTGAATAAAAGCAAGCAGTGTGGTTTGTGCCTGCTGTATGCTGGACTAAATTAACTGGAGTGCAGGGTGAGGTATGTGATTCTTTCTATCTTCCCATCACTTGCGAGACTTCATCTGGCGGATTGTGTCCAGCTGTGGGCTCTCTGTTACAAGACAGACATTGACTTGTCAGAGTGAGTCCAGCAGTGGTTCACCCCCTCCATGTAGTTAAGGAGATTGAGAGCATGGTGTGTGAAGAGGGGCTGAAGTAAATGGCTTTGTTTAGCCAAAGGTGTGAAAGTATAATTTCTTTCTTCGACTGCCTGATAGGTGGTTATAGAAAAGTCAGAGCTGGACTCTTCCAGAAGGCCCACAATGAAAGCACTAAATGTAACAGACAAAAGCTAGGTTGGGGAAAATTTGGCTAGGTATGAGGAAATTTATTTTATTTTCACCCTGAGGATGGTCAGACAGAAAACTGATTTTCTAGTGAGTTGATGAAACCTCTATCCTTGTAGATACTAAACTTGCAGCTGAACAAAGCCCTCAGCAACCAGATCTAAATTTGTATTTGGCCCTGCTTTAAATGAGGGTTTAAACAAGGTGGCCTTCAGAAGTTCCATCAAACCTATGTTATTCTGTAATATTACAGTGGAGTTTGTGCAAAAAATATGACAGAGAAGAATGGTGGTTGATACTAATGTTCAGAATGGACAGTTTTAATAGGGATGCACAGGTATTTGAAAATCTTTCTTTATAAATTGAAAAGAAGGTCAACTGCCTGTGTTGTTACATGTAAAAATAGATCTATGCAGTATTTTACTGCTGACCAAAAAAAAAAAAAAGCTAAACAAAAAAAAGGGAAATGAATTTTGTACAGAAGTAATCCTTGTACTTTTGTACAAAGTAGTTCATCTGTTTTTAAGAGGTGGCTTTTATTGACTTGAAAAGGGTTTTCATTATTGAAAGACTAAAATAGATTCTTCTTAAAATTCAGTATATGGGGAGCAGCTGGATGATTTTTCCCCTTTTAGTTCTTTGCTATTTTTTTCCAAATGCTGAATCCATTGAAGGTTCTGCTCTTCTAGTTCTTCCCTTTCATAGCTATTATTTTTAATGAATGAAAGCGAGCATGTGTTGTTTTCTCTAGGCTTAACCTGCCAGCATGTGAGCCAAGCAGTAGATGTGCATCATGTGAAGAGGGCGGTAGCTCAGAGTGTCTGGTCAATATGTGCAGAATGTTTGAAGGAGAGACGGATGAGTGATGGTGAACCCGTGGCACCTTTGGACATATGGCTGTGTCTCAAATGTGGCTCTCAGGTAAGCATATGCTGTAAATTTGCAGAGGTGGATCAGCCCTGAATTTCTAAAGGTTACGACTGGTGTGGGTACTTGTCTCTTGGGCATCTCATTACCTTTGGTGAAACAGTGTGACATAAATGCTTTCTTCAGCTGCTTCAGTGGAGTGGAATGTAGCCTTAAGTTCTTCTTGTCTTGTTCGCAGCAGTGTTTTAGGTTAGCTTTGGAACCCACAAATATAAATGAAAGAAAAACTAAATATGTATAGTGCTGAATTGACTTATACTGTGGACACTCAGTTGCTAGATTTGACTGAAAACAGGGAGAAAGGACTGTGTCGAAGTGAGAGTTCTGCTTTTTGTGGCAGCTAGCCATTATAGTGTCAGTTATATAGCAGACCAGTTATAGTGTCAAATTGTGGCCTCAAGAGTTTATAATGGCAGGTCCTGACTGCAGAGGCTTGCACAGGTTTCTGCCTTGTGAGTGAAGTAAAGATACAGAAAAAATTCAATTTACAGGCAGTGTCATGCTTTGTTTAGCTAACAGTTGCCTGAACAAAGCATTTCACAATTTTCTTAAACTTTGAGTAGGTCTTGCTATAGTAAGGACAGAAGCCAGCTCTCACCAGTATTATCTGAACAGATTTAATTTTGCAAAGAACTGTGCTATTCGCAGGCTTCGGAAGATAGTTAATGGGATCTGAGGAGAACCTCTTGTCTCTGAAAATTTGTAGTTAAGGAGGGCTTTGAAAAGGAGTTAACACACTGTGCTTTTTCATGCTTATACTGTTAGTAGCCTCCAAAGCTCATTCAGAGACCAGTCCTCAATCTTCTAAGTCCCACTCTGTAGACACTTGAAAAATTGCAAATGCTGTCTTTTGAAGTCGCTGTACAAAAATGGTGTGTTCTGAGTAGGTTTTTAGTACAAACAAAACCCCCTCATTAATTGATATCTTTATAATACTGGATTATAAAGAATGTTAAACCCTCTCAATCTATGGGAATGCTAAATGAATATCTAGGGCACTACAGTTTTCTGCCTCATTTTGAAAAGCAAAGTTTTGATAGTTTATTTACTAATAATATAGTCTTTTCCTTCTTCTCTTTTTTAATCCTTACTGTGCTGATGTTTCCATTTTTAGGGATGTAGTAAGAACTCGGAAGGCCAGCATTCTCTGAAACACTTCCAAACAGCACGCGCAGAACCTCATTGCATTGTTATCAACCTCAGCACATGGATCATATGGTAAGAATGAGTATGCAGATGTTTGTATATACTTGTACGTAAGGACTACTCATAACTTAAAGCAGTGTCTTCTCATGATAAAGAATTATTCTGGCAGGTAAAAATGAATATATAGAGGAAAGGCAGGCTTTCTGGAGAGAAAATTAGTGTCCTTAGGACTTTCGGAGGGGGCACGAATCAATACTAAGATAGAAGTTCAAGTCCATTATGTTCTGTAGCGAGTTGGCTGGTTATAGGAGCTTGTCCTTCCTGCTTGTTTCTATGTGATTATTTGCAGGACTATAAACTCAGATTATTTAAATCTTTAAGTATCACAGTGAATTGGGACCGGTCTGTAGAAAAGCCTATATGAGATAATTCAGTTTGACTCCTCTTTTTAGTATGAAAAATTGAAACCTAGAACTTAAATAATTTGTGTAAAGTTGTTTGTGAGGTGTGTTAGAGCTGGGAGGTGTATCCAGTTATCCTGAATTCCAGTTTGTTTCTTCTCTTGTTTAGGTGTTATGAATGTGATGAAGAGCTGTCAACACATTGCAACAAAAAGGTTTTGGCTCAGATAGTTGACTTTCTTCAAAAACATGGTTCCAGGGCTGAACCAAGTAAGTTTACACAATTAGTTTTGTGTGGAGAGATCTATAATTTACTGCCTCTGAAAATGAGCATTGCGGATTTTGAGTCATGTTAAACGTACAACTGAAAAATTGTGTATGGTGCGAGTATAATGCAATTTGTAATTGCACAATTACTTGGGCAAATAATGCCTGTCGAAAGATGCCATTGTTTTCCTGCAACGTGATTACATTTAAAAAATACTTTGGGCACCATAGGACAGTTTTTCCAAATTTTGTTTTTAATGAAGAAAGTTTATTGTAAAGAAGAAGTTATCTTCAATAAGATGCCATATAAATTAATGCACAAAAACTATATAGAAGCACAAAATAATTGCATTTCCCTAGTGTGGATGTGTCACATCTTAAAATTTTTCTGATTTAAATTTGTTTTCAACAGTTAATTAGATTTGCTTAAGTGGATTTTCTTATACTTTGTTGATTGATGTAATGCTTTATGTTCATTTATGTTATTGGGTTTTAATTGCTAGAACAAGCAATTGCCAAGGGAGATTTAGATTGGATATTAGAAAGAATTTATTCACCGAAAGGGTAGTTAGGCATCGGAACAGGCTTCCAAGGGAAGTAGTGAAATCACTGTCCATGGAAATGTTCAAAAACCATGTAGATGGGGCCCTCAGTGACATGGTTTAGTGGTGGACTTGGCAGTCCTTGGGCGATGCTTGGACTTGATGATCTTAAAGGCCTTTTCCAACCTAGTTGATTCTGTGATTCTGTGACCCTCTCCAAGTGGCAGAGTGTGGCTGTTCTGAGCAGTTTGGGTGCTGTTCTTGAAAGCTCTAGGAATATTGGCCCAAATATGATTTGTCGGGTTTTCTTAAGTGGCAAGGAGAAGAGGAAAAAGCTGTTTACCTGGCATGGTCTGTTGCTCTGGGCAAGGCTCCTCACTGGAAGCTGCTGGGAAACAGCTGTGTATTGATAAATATGTATGTGTAGGCTGGGAATTCCCAGCCAGAGTTGGCATTCTTGTTTCACTTTGATAAATGTAACACCAATGCATTTTCTGTTTTATGTCAAATTCTTGGGCTGACACAGTTGGTACTTCCCCAAAAGAAATGTAACTTAAGATTTTTTTCTTTTCTTTAAATTACATTGCCTTTAAGGATTTTTTAGAAATTAAATTTGAAATTGAAATGTAATTCATGTTGTTGTTCAAAACACAAAGAACACAAAGTGTAACACTGAAAATTAACTTTACTATTGATAACTTACCTGTTGCCTTTTTTTAGTGTAGCATTTTATTTCGTATTACGATGATATTTTCAGTGTAACTGTCATCCTTTAAATTATTAGTTGGCTTAGTTTTTTAAATTTATTTTGTACATTCAACTATTAAAAACATAAACTAGTTTTAAACAAATGAAAAATAACTTGTGAGAAGTAGTTTAAGACTGACAGTGAACAGTTCATATTTTTCACTTAAAAATCAATCTTACGCTTTCTTCCCATTGTTTTTCCATTTCTTGCAAAGCAAGCAGTCCAGGTGAAGACAGTTAATTTTCATATGAGAATGTGGCACTGTAACAACAATTCATCTTATGTCTGGATTTCTTTCTGTTGTAACAACTGGTTGGCATGGTGCATCATTAAAATTCAAATAGCACTGTCTAGAAATTTCTACAGAAATGCAGGATGAACATGGATATAAGTAACAGATGAGGACTGCTAGGGTTTTTTTGGTTCTCAAAAGTGCAGGAGTCACTTAAAGATAAAATAATCAGCTTAAACATGTAAGGGAGGGTTATATAGATTTCCTAATTAATGCATCCTTGAAAATAAACAAAAGCAAAATGCTTGTCATTTGGTACTAATGTGGTGGAATAGTGTGGCAGCAGGATCCCTGCTTTTCACTTGGCCTCTCATAAAGATTCAACTTCACTTCAGCTGTAAAAATGTGCAAATTACATTACTACTACATGACTGACTTTTGTAATTACATTAAGCGATTGAGATAAATCCCAGTGCTGGGTTCCCAAAAGAATGCTTGCAGCTGTGTGATTTTCACATCTGATCCTATGGTTTGTTGTACCCAGCAATGCCTGCTTTTTTTTTTTGTTTTCCTTTTTCTTGGTTTTGTTTTAGAGGAGTCTGTTTGGTTAAGAGGTCATGTTGGGCACAAGACGGAAGAATAAAGCAAGATTGCTTTCTGGGGTGTACCACCCAGAAATCTGTTTTGTGGAAAAGGTTAGCAGGCCAGGATGATTTTCACAGAAAGGCAGGTGCAGTATTGTCCGTGTGGCACACTTGTGAGCTTCACATGGGCATAATGCACGTGTAGTACACAGAAACCATGCTGAGACATTGCGATCTGTGTGCCTGCTCTTTTACTGGAGAAAATAAATTCTTTTTAAGTTTTAAAAGTGAATATTATGCATATTTTCCTTTACAAAGGCCAAATTAGACATCATTGGAGACGTAAGATTCCATACTCTGGTTTTTTTTATAGAGCAGTTAATTAGATCAGTTTGTGTGGCAATAGAATAGGAAGGAAGAATATTTATCCTCAAATTTTGTAGTTAAATTTATTGTTGGGAAGGTCAAGCAGAGGAATGAGATTTTGTTAGTAAGTTCAACTGCTCAGATTTGCCAGTAGGTTAAAGTTAGAAACTTGATTTCTGTTTTAATGGATGTAACTGGTGTAAAACAAAGATTAAAAAAATATGTAATTTTACAGTATAAGTAACAGGTGTTAACTTGTAAGGAAAGACAAAAAGTATGGTGAATAACTTTTCAGATTTCTATTCATCTGTGGATATTAGCAGTTGACAAAGGATCACACTGAAAAAACCAGTAATTTGGAGGTTGGAGTCATGTAAGCCCATTCTATCTACCTAAAAGAAAATTACATAGCAAAATAAAGCAGAATATATTGATTCTGCAATTATGAGATACACTTTAGCAAAAAAACATTTCTGTTGTTGGTCATAAATTTTCTTTCAAGTTTACTTCCATGTTAGGGGATGCTGCTAATTATGCACATTGCAAAGAAATGAAAACCCAATAATTGGCAAAAAAATATTTTAAGCATTTTGTCACTTTTCTCCACAGATTCTTCCCTTTCCTGTATTAAATAAATACTTACTTGTGAGGTGAAGCTTGTGAGGTAGCACACGACATCTGAGCATAGGGATCAAAACTGGTACTTGAGTAGCTTGCTCTTTCTCACTGTGCAGATGTATTTTCCAGTTTATAACATTCCAGCAGAATCGGAGAAATAGAATTGCAGTTTGGAATTTGGTAGGATTGTAACAATGCAAGAAAGATTGGGCTTTTCAAACATAAAGCTAGTGACCATTTCAGAAGAGAACCACGCTGTTATCTAACGGTTAGATCCCACTGTCGTACAGTGTTGAAAAAAAAATCAAATTTTTTTAAATAAAAAGGGAGTGCTAGGCAATTTAGTAGCATTTCATAATACAGCATGATGAGAACTTGATAAAAGAAAGGCAATTTATCAACCTTGCTTTTACTGTGAAGACCTTCAGCTGAAGTACCACAGGTGTATTCAATAGAAAAGGCTTGACCTTGGAATGAAAGTGCATATTCCTGGAACTCTCATTTTTAATTAAAAGGAAAAAAAAGTTGCATTGAAAAGATGAGCAAAACGGCTTTACTCCCCTGGCTGAAAGAAACATTGGATGTCCTTTATCTTTTTGCTTGCATGCCATCTGCATTCCCAGGCACGGCTCAGTTTCAGCAAGGGCAGTACAGAAGCCCATGTGCGTTGCAAACATTTGAAGTACTGGCAAAACAAATTGAAATGGAACCTGCAATAAGTTTTCTGAACGTCTTTTGCAAGTGGATGCGTCAGCACTGTGTGCTTTTGTGCACCTGGTACGGTGACTTGCTTTGCTTCATGGACTGAATCATTGTCTGTGTTAATGTTGGGCTTAGGAATCTCAGTCATGAGGCTGGTGCTGTGCAGATGTGGGACAAAATGATGTTCCCTGCCTTCAGAGAGCTTACTAGACAAGATGGCAGGTGAGCAGAAAAAGAAAGCTGAAGAAGAGTGGCAAGGAAAGGCAAGAGCTGTAGCAGAGGAGCAGTCTCTGACTGCTGTCCTCTTTCCTGGGGGTCTGGTGGGAAGGGGGTTTGCTAGCATGGGGGTGACATCGGGAAGTTTTGCCGAGCATAAAGGCTGTGCCTGTGCACAGATGCAGCTGTGTGAGAGCCAGAGTGAGTGCTGGAGGTAGGCATCAATGGCCAGATTGTACAGGGCTTTGAGCAGCCTGGTCTAGTGGAAGGTGTACCTGCCCATGGTAGGGAGGTTGGAACTAGATGACCTTTAAAGGTCCCTTCCAAGCCAAATCAAATCAAATCAAATGATTCTGTAATTCTATGGTGGGACTGTAGGCAGTCACTGACCTGGTGCCTAGGAAGACATGGTCAGTAGGGTGTGAGAAGTAGGATGGAGTGCTGGGCAATGGGTCTTGGCAGAGTGCTCCAGTAGGGCGTCTTCAGTAGCTGGTTACTCTTTGTCAAGGGAAAAGGAGGTTGTGGTGATCTAGGCACAACTTGGGTGAGAGTTTTGCCAATGTGACTGGATTAGAAAGGCCACCTTTACAACAAAACTGCAGATGTAGTCTTATGGAGAGGTGCAGTCTCAATGCGTGAGCCCCAAAACAGTCACAGTTGCATGTGCTGTCCCCACTGCAGAGATGGACAGACCTGCCTGGGGCTGATGTCCACAGTGCCCAAGAAGTGCAGAGAGCTTGAGGATCACCATGTCAACTCTAAACCATGTAATAGTGAACTACAGACAGAAATCGGTCTATGAATTTAGTTACTCTGTGCCTTTCACCCACCTTGCACTCATTAATGTTAACAAAGTCTTTTATAACAGGTATTATTGCACACAGATGAATGGTTTGGACTACTTCATTTCTCCTCTTTGGCCAGGAGCTGAAGGCCCTTGTGGGCAGCAGCAGATGACAGCCATTTTGATGGAATCCTTCTGCTGGGCTCCTTGTTGTGTCTACACTGGCTTAAAAGTAATTTTTCATATCCAAAAGCATGCCTGTTAAAACATTACAGGGTTGCGAGATTGAGTCTGCAAGAGTCCATGAAACAGTTCAGTGGAAATTCACTTTAAAAAATTACATCTTAGCCTTTTGATTAATAGCATGCTTGTAGCCTTGGGTTAATCTTGCAGAAGGACCCTCCAGTCCCAATCTGTAGAAGTATTTAGCTATCACAGTCATTACCAGCATCTTCTATTAAGACTGACCAACTCTTCACATGTCAACTAAACATTCAGCTTCAGGCCTGTCTTGTCATTTATCACTGAGCTGGGGACACTGAGCAGCGTTAAATTAAAAACTGCTGTCCTTCCTCTGGCTCTATATATGTCCTTAAAACTATCTGCATGGAATGGGGGAAGCAGCAGCTACTGTTTGTGTAATGGCAAAGCAACATTTTTCTGGCAAGACTTTTTCACAGATACAAAAAAGCCAGTAAAATGTCACATGGATCGTGTTTGTAAAATCCTTAAAAAAATCAAGAGGCAGTAATTAAAACTTTCTGCAGGAAAGGAGGTTCTTAGACTTCAGTAACAACGTACAGGCCTTTTCTTAATTTACTACTAGTTCTCCTATCCCTATCCAGCTTTGTGGCAATCAGATGTCTGGTTCTCATTTATTGTGCTTTAAAATAGCATATTCATCCAGCTCTTATCACAAAGCCGGATGCCTCGGCTTTTTTTTCCCTCCCTTAAATAATTTATATGTAAGGTTCAGCAAATGGAACCTTGCTACTTGTGTGAAGCTGCCATTTAACCATGAAGTGAAATGCTTTTATCGAGTTTGCCCTGCAGATATGGTCCGCTGTGGCAGTGCTGTCCATATTTGGTGGCTGTGCAAGGAGAGCCAGGTGGTGCTGCAAAGCATAGCACAGTGAAGCGTGGACAGATCTAGGTTTGACATTTGTCATCCTGTACTGCTAAAGGGAAGAGAAAAATCTGCTTTTCCATATGCTTATGCTTTAATTTTTGCCTGCAGTTTTGTCCAGATGGCCTTGTGAACATTGTTTACTTTAAGATGCTGTCCCAGATGTTTTTGAATGCCGATGGATAAATGCAACAACTGTGGTATACTAATACACAAATTATTTACACAATTTTGGCTTTTTTTTCCCCCCTCCTTCCTTTTTTAACTTTTTTAACCATCTCTTCTCCCCAGCCCTGCTCTGTATGGCACTCTTACATGGGGAAGAAGTCTTCCCTTACAGTATGGAATTTCTGGGAGTGAGCAGTGCCTTTGAGTTGCAGAGACTTGGAGCTCCTGTTCTCCTGCTGTGATTCTTTTGGAGCTCTGTGTGGGTGGACAAGTCTCAGACATTGTAGTGTGCCCTTTGTAAGCGTGACAATTAAAAGGTGTTGCTGCACGTAGCCCATAAAACGGTGACTGCTTGTGGGTGTGTCACTCATTGCATTGAAAAACACTTTGTCTCCTCTTTCAGGGAGAACTTGGTCTCTTACTTTGCCCTTGTACTGTCTTAATTTTACACGCAAGTGGAAAGGAGAGTATTTTAAAGCTGTGTAAGCAGTATTGCCAATAATGTTTAAAAATGTTCCTAAACAGCAAAGCACCTCTAACTGCATTTTGACAAACTTGGGTACAATTAAAAAAAATAATTATGCCTTGATGGCACCATAGGGTGCAGACAGACTGCATCAGAAGCTTATTGCCAGGTACAGTAGATATTTTAATGACTTCTTTTTTATTTAATCATATTTTTTCATCCTCTAAGCAAGAAGCTATCTAGGAGTGTATATAAAAGAACCTTTTGGCATGAGCATTTCATTAACGTAAATAGGTCTGTTAGTTATTTCTCAGGAACACTGTAATGAGACTTCAATGTGAAACTCATTAGAACAAATATATGAATTCATATGTCAAGACAGAGATTGCAGCATCACAGTTCTTGGCATCTATTAAGTCCATAACTCGTTTACATTGACATGCATTGTTAATCAATATTTAAGACACTGCAGATGTCAGTAATGTTCATATTTAGTTCTGCAACCATGAAATATGAAAGTTGCTAGTAGAATTCGAGGCTAAATATTGTTATCTCAAGTCTTTCCATTACCTCTAGGCTACAAGTTAATGACTGTCTAAGTTTGCTGCCCCTCATCTATCTAAATAATAAGGGAAATAGGGAAATGTGGATGTTATACTGGTAGCATATTCCACTACAGATGTATGAAATTTTTGTTGTTTAAAATTAAAACACTAGCACTGTGTGTATGTGGGTTGCGTTAGCAATTCCTGAAGCTGTGACAAAGGGAGGTGGGTCGAGGAGCAAATGCAGCTTTTGGGGAAACTGGTAACAACTCCAGTTTGGCTGTTCACTGAGTTTTATGAGGGAATTCAGAGTGTGGTAATTGATAAAGGCTTGCAGGATTCAGGTGGCAACTTTTGGTCACCTCTCTTCAAATCCACCAAAAAGCTGCCTTTGTGTGGCGTTTCTAGTGTGTCAAATGAATGTACATCTTAACTGCCTATTGTTAATAAACTAACAGAGCCTGTTTTACTTTAGTGCTTGGCTAATTTAAGAAGTTACAGTCTTATGGGACACTATGTGAAAGTTTTTGTTGGATAAATGTAGTTGTTGGGGGGATTTTTTTTCCCCAGGGGTTTAACTGCTGATGTCTTTATTTTTTTTTTAAAGATTACGTAAAGCAGCTTAGCATACCATCGAGATAATCTTTCCACATATGTTAGAAATGACAAATATAATCCATGGAAGAACTTCTGTGATTAAACTATGCAATTATATAGTAATATTAACATATAGTTTAATTATAGGTTCATCAAAAATCATACGACTCCGCGAAGAGAACAGTGAAACAAGTGAAATACTGAAAGGAAAAAGTTCTGGAAATGGTGCATCAGTTCCAGTTAAAGGAATAAATAATTTAGGAAATACATGCTTTTTTAATGCTGTCATGCAGGTAAGATGGAAAGATCATACACCTTTCTCTTAATAAATTTCAGAAATACTTAATATGTATAAACTTGTATATGTATGAAAATATGTGGGCTTTGGAAGAGGTTCTGACTGTTACCAGTATTCATTGTGCTTTCTGAATGTCCTTTTCAAATTCTTTTTACTCCTTGCTGTCCAAGAAATAGTTCCTGTTATAACAAAAAAGGATTCCTGGATCAGTAGCATTTTTTGCAGTAATGAGACAAATGAAAATGTCAAAGTGTTTTACACACTGCATATGGGTGTGGGTTGTACTCTAGCATATGGTTTTATTTGTAGTTCAGCATTAGGCAGTGATGAGTAATGCACAGTATTTACCATACTGGTGGGTGTGAAAAGTGGTGCTTTATGCATAATGTAAATGTCTGCACAGTGCATTGTGATGATTTTAAGCCCCTACAAGGGATGGAGTTATAGAAGTACTTTTATTGGTTATGAGGTTTTTTTCTGACCAGAATAAGGGGAATGAGCTATACTAATACATTTGTAGTATACAACTAACTCAACATCCTCAAAAAAAGCAGCAGACTTAGCGGGTTTTTTATTGGACCATCCTACTGCTTGTCAGAGACATCTGTATGTCTGCAGGCAGGAGTGAACAAATGAAAGAGAACTGCTACAAAGGTGTTCTGAACTGGCATGCTTTACCTTGTGTTAATGGTGGTGATTACAAAACTCAGCAAACAAATAGCACATGTGTAAGGAGTAGAATTACTGCAATTTGTTCTCTGTCCATACTTAGGACAATGTAGAAACCTAAGTGATCTGCAGTCAAAGTTAACTAAAAATAAAGAAACAAAGCTGAGATATGTTGTTTTCTCTCTTAAATTCAGAGAGGTAATGCTTTTCAGTGTTCCCAAACCTTTGTGCTTGTTGGGGCATGATGGGCGGGTCTATAGAGAAATAAACGATTTCTGATACTAATGTCCTCACCATAAATAAAATAATAAAAAGAAAACAAAACCAAAAAAACACCTTGTTGTTCAACAAGAATAACAAAGTTATTACTAGGAATTACAGAAACAGAAGTAGATACAATTTTAGAAACAGTGTGAGATCAGTGATCTCAGCTCATATAAGGGTGATACCTGCTTTTTCTAGTAGTCTGATTTAAACCTCAGTTGTACATGTATATTATGAAATATATCTGGTTTTGTCTATCCCTGAAGCTAGAATTTATATCTAACACAAATGTATAGCTGAAAGATTAGCTTGTGTTTCTTGGGATTGTTTTTTTGTCTTTAAGAACTTGGCACAGACTCACGTACTAAATGAACTTATGTATGAGATGAAGGAGAAAGGAACAAAGTTAAAAATCTGTCATAATTCAGACTCCCAATTGGTAAGTATACAGTGAGAAATACAAATTTGGGGAGATGTGGGAAGAAGCTGGAGGATGGGAAATCACATTCTCCCCTTTCTTTTGCCTTTCAATTGTTTTAGCTGTTTTATGATATCTGTGAACTCACTACTTTTACAATACTAATTATTCAGCTTGGGAGGAGGAAGAATAATCACTTTCTTTCACGTTTTGTGACATGGAAGTAACAAGTAATGCCTGATCTAAGAAAGTGGCTGACTTATTATTGTTTCCCATTTCATTTCTTCATTGTGAATGTATGATACAGGAAATAGTATATATGGCTCTAGAAAGTGTTCATGACGTATTTTATTCCAGTCTGTCCCAGCCCTTCACTGGAAAGGCTTGTAAGATATATTGTGTCCTTCGCAGGCCAGAGGATAAAACTGTGAGAAGTAAAATCTGGTGAGGGCCAAATTTCTTGTCCTCAAGGTCACTGCAGACAAATGAGGAAGAGATTCCTGTGGTTATTATCAAAAGAATATACTGGTGTTCTAGGTTGTAGCTTAGAGACTTGCTAAAGAGAGCAGTTACAGAGGATTTTTTTTTTCCTGTTTGTTTTTTTTGCTGGGAGCTTTCTGGTGGCAGTGAGGGTTGAGGGGTAGGATTCTGTATCAGCTACTTCTGAAATGATGAAAGTTTCTGTATGTTGCTGTCAGTGATGTTCATAGCTTCTCCAGGCAAGAATAGTGTGGAATTCACTGTGGTGTTGTCTGTATTTCCTCCAGTGACAGTTCTGAGCAGTAGCATATTTCACTAAGTTATCCTGAGCCACAGCAGAGGTCTGGAACTTGCTTATGCCCAGAGACTTAGAAAGCCAGTGGTATGTTGGCTTAGGCTTGGTGCGAAACTTGCACAGCCATAAGGTTAAAAGATTTATTTTTCTTGTTTAACGACAGTGCTTACAATGTAAATGAGATCTTTGGAGAAAAGACTGTTTTCTGGTCTTTGTATGTCAACACACAATTGGAGTGCTTCGGGAGTCTAAACTAACGCTAACGAAGAAATCTCAGCTTCCTGCTTGATAGGGGGCATTTTTCTACCTTTAGATAGTTCATGTAATGCAAATACCTTACATTTGTGTGGATCTGTAGTGCCTATGTTTTGTGTGAATCTCCTTTCTGGACGAGGCAGCCTCTCTAATTGTTTGTCTGGCAGTTGTAAGCTGTTTTTGTGAGAGTCAGGCTAGCTAGTAGAAAGCCCTGTGATCATGTATGAACCTGGGAGCATGTTAGGGAGAGCTGGTAATCTGTGGCTGTTGAGATGCATGTGGCATGTAAGCAATGCAGGAGTGTCTCCAGCTTCAACACTGGCTGGGGTAGCTGCTGGCCAGCTTCTCCCAGCCCCAAGGCCTGCTGGCTGGGGCGAATCCCACACGAGGATGGGCTGTGTGGGATGCACCCTGTGCCTGTTGCCCGCTGCCATGGCAGACCTGTGGGGTCTGCTGTCAGCTCTTCCTGTGAACCACTGCTGGTGCCTTTCTGGTGCCTGATGCCTGGAGGAACAGGGTGCGTTTCTGTGGCTGTCAGATGTGTGGAAATCTCAGTGTGTGGCTCACAGGTCAGAGGCCACCCCTGACCCTCTAAGGCTGGGTAGACAAAGTGCCACTGAGTTCCAACTCATGCTGGCCCATGGAAGAGTTGGAGAGACTGTGTTGTCTGTCCAACTGAATGTCAGTGCTCGTGGGAGTGAAAGTAAAGTGGGTAATACAGGAGGTAGTCTGTTTTTTGTGAGAATCAGACTGGCTCATTGACATGCCTTGTTTCCAAAACTAGTGGTTACCAACCAATTTACTTGACAAGAATTGTTTGGCTTTACAACTGTTACTGCTTAAGTAATAAGCTTCCTCTTCAACTATTTCAATCATATAGGTGACATCAACATTTCAAAAAAAAAGAAAAAACCCAGAACACTCTAAGTCTGGAAGTTATATTTTTCTTTGTCATAAATCTACTAACTTGAAATAAGTCTCATGTGTCATTAACTTTGAAATCTGATGTGCAATTTACCTTTGCTTTGAAGGATCCTCTGGTGGTAAACCTCTCCAGCCCAGGACCTTTGACTTCAGCAATGTTCTTGTTCCTTCACAGCATGAGGGAGGCTGGAAAAGGTCCTCTTTCTCCCAAAGTGCTGTTCAGCCAGCTTTGTCAAAAGTATGTATTGTCAGTATCTTTTACTTGCTTATTTAGTTTTAATTTCCAGTGATATGTTTCTAAATGTGCTGTGTCTGTTGTCCTTTCTAAGGCGCCATTAGATTTTTACCAGGTAGTCCAGAAAATGTTGTCTTCACGTTTTAAAGTTGCAGCGCTCCCTGCTGTGCTCCAGGGTTGTACCTATTTGCTCTTCAAATGTATGGCCCGGTCCAGAACCAGTAACTTTCAGTGGGCTTTGAACAAGTGAGGGGGCAGAAGGTGGCGTGGTAAAACTGAAGAAAATAGAGTTACCTTTCATGTTTTGTTGTGTATTAGCACAAAGCTGTGCTAATACTGCAAAGTGTGTGTAGGTGTCTTATAAAAAAAAAAAAGGTAAGCTTGAAATGGGAAACTTCTGCTATGATGTCTGACCTTGGCATCAATTCAAGATTAAAAAGGGTCTAACAAGTAAGGACTTGAAGCAGTACTGAAATGGCATATGGCTCCAGATTGCAAAGAGCTTACCAGCCCTAAAGAAACTCCTGTTTCTTGGCGTGGAAAATGCTTACAGTGGTGCTTTGTAGGTGCCTTCAATTATGATGCAAACAATCTTGCTTTTTAAAACACCTGTAGAAGACCTCTTCAGAAGTTGATACCTGTACTTAAATATTGACTTTACCAGTAAAAGAAGCTGTAGAAGCAGAGTAACTGCAGAATGATACAGGTGAACCTCACTTTAAAATAAGATTAATAATTTGTGTTATTTTTTTTGCCACAGTATTGTTGTATGGAATTTTAAGCATTCTGCAGTAAGAGTTGGGAGGAAAGTTGCAGCCTCCTGTCATGGCATTTCAGGGCAACCTCACTCTGTAAACATGGGTTTATGATCTGGTATAAAGAAATAAAAGCTTTTAGGCTAGAGAAGGGACAACGTAGTTCTGATAAATCAGTATTGCTTTTTCTTTATTCTCAAAATTCAATTTCAGAAACATAATACTATATTTTTCTGTTGTACTTCCTGTTGATTTTTTTTGATCTGTAAAAGGAAATCTGTATAAATTTGTATAAATTGTCCTTATAGTGATTTTGAGTCTAACAGTTCTCTGTTTAGCCTTATCTACCTGGAAGAAAAATATGTTGTTTCCTCACTCCTTCTTCTGTTTCAGGGGTGACTCAAAAATGCGATTATAAGAAAAAAACTGGCCAAGAAATGAAAGGGAAATGGTTAAATAAGAATAGTATCTTTTTCTCTGTTAGTATTAAGGACAGAAGGGAAAAGATGATGTAAAACATGTTTTGAAGCCCACCTTAGCAAACTCATTGTAAAATAATCATGATGCAGTACACTTCAGATGGCACTGTATTTTTGAAATGATAGCTATTTTGTATCTGTTCTTGTGTGTGTGTGTGTTTGTATAGTCATCAAGTGATGGCTACACAATGTATTGGTATTAAATCTCAGATACCTAGTTGTTCTTTTTTTGTTATTCTTGTTTAATCTTTAAGATGGGCATATACTTTAACTACCAGCTAAAATTGAAACATATGTTAATGCGAGCAGCAGACTTTGGCTGTTTAGGCATCTGTCGGCTTCTGCATCTCTTTGCCTTCATTACTACTTTCTTTTGTTAGCCTTGCAGAACACAACTTGGATATAAATGATTTCTAGCTCTAGTATCAATAACAAAAGCGTCAGCCACATCCTGTTGGGTAGGTGTTCAGGGGCAGGCAGTGGCTGCACAGGTACGACAGAAGGTTTTGGTCTTTTGATTATTTTGTGGTTGATGGTGACGTAAGCAAGAAAGAAGAAAGGGAGAATTTCAACAAATTCAGCCATCTGCAGTGGTGAAAATAGGAGAACGGGAAATCTTTATCTTTGCAAACTGAATAAATTTACTATATATTAACTTAGTATGAATGCAATGTTCTGTCATGCCATTTTTATGAAGCCTTTTTAAATTTTTTAAAGATGGCTTTCTACTCTTTAGCAAAGCTGAAATGAAGGAGAGACCATGGCAAGATTGCAGGAGTCCCAGCTAGAAAGAAGTCTCTGTTGCTGCACCATTCGCCATAAACTGCTTTTTGAGTCCTGCCAAGAAGTCATCTTAATAAAGTAATCTTAAAGGCATGCACTACTTGTGGTCTTCATATGCATTAGCATGAAAGTTCAAACAGCGTCTTTCCTGAAGAGATGACAGGATGAATGTGTAACAGGAAAAACTACATTGAAAAAAAAGTTTGTATTTCAGAGAGATATGTCAGAGAAAGACAAGTGAGCTAACTACTGGGGAGAAGGGCATGGAGAAGGACTTCTATAATGATGTTTGATTTTACATAAAAGTTTGCTGACTTCAGTTGCAACCTGTTTTATTCTTTTTTTAATTTATTCCTTCCCCATCACAGATCTTGCTGTCTCAGTCCCAGCCTACAGTATCTGACCATACCCTTCTTCAGTAAAGAATTTATGAAGCAGATTGTATAGATAGTATAGGATGTGCTTGTCTGTGATATCATAGAATAGTTAGGGTTAGAAAAGACCTTAAGATCATCTAGTTCCAACCCCCCTGCCATGGGCAGGGACACCTCATACAGACCATGTTGCCCAAGGCTCTGCCCAACCTGGCCTTGAACGCTGCCAGGGATGGAGCATTTACCACTTCTTTGGGCAACCCATTCCAGTGCCTCACCACCCTCACTGTAAAGAACTTCTTCGTATATCTAACCTGAACTTCACCTGTTTAGGTTTGAAGCCATTACCCGTTGTCCTATTGCTACCATCCCTAATGAAGAGTCCCTCCCCAGCATCCTTGTAGGCCCCCTTCAGATACTGGAAGGCTGCTATGAGGTCTCCACGCAGCCTTCTCTTCTCCAGGCTGAACAGCCCCAACTTTCTCAGCCTGTCTTCGTATGGACTCAGTGACCCAGGAGTGTCCTCCCAGTCTTTACCATAACAATGTTTTGAATAGTTGCTTGTAGCTTGCAAAACAGGGACATGCGCACTGAGTGGTTGTTCAGAATACAGATGTTTTACTTAATACTTAGTATAGTTGCTTCCCAATCCTACTAGGCTACTTACAAACATGAATGGTTGAAATGCTGAAGCTGTCAGCAGGTATGCTGCTGTACATAATATACTTAGGTCTATCTACTTGGCAGGACTGTTACAGTGTGCTATCTAGTCAAGAAGTAACACAGCGATCTCCTAATAACATTTTTCTCATGTATAGCAGAAGGCTGATCACTTTTCCCTGATGACGTAGTTGGATTATATACGTAAAAATATGTACAACTTTTTATTAAATTGGCATTGATGAGTGTGGGTGGGTTTGGGTGGGGTTTTTCTGGTTTTTGGGTTTTTTGTGGGTTTGGGGGCATTTTTTGGTTTGTTTGTTTTTTTTTTAATCTAGCTGAATGGTGACATGTTTTGATGTTGGATCAGTTGATGCAAGGTATCGTAAAGGTAGCTATATAATTGAACACCTGACACTCGCCCTCATTTCCAGCTCAATGCTAGAATAACAGTTCTGAATTTAGTATCTGGAGTTGCTTTTTTTGGTGCCATTGTAGGACTTCAGGACTCCACCTGCTTCAGGTGTTGCAGTATGCGAGAGTTTGAATGCTCACATTTGAACTGGGCATCCTCACTCAAAAGTTGAAAAGTGCTAAGTGAAAGAAGACCTAAGGAGGCAGGTAAGGAAGGGAATGCTAAAACGGAGTGGCAAAAGCATGTAGGAATGTGGTTACGTGTGGGCAGAGAGCCTGTAAAGAAAGGGAGCGGACGCTGCCTTGTTCAGCTGCAGCTCTGCAATGGTACTGGGTGGGATCCCAAAACCTGCAAGTGAGGAACTCTGCAAGTGGATGCATATATGCTGCTCAAAAGGAGTTAGAGAACTGGGACGCATTTCTTTCAGCTGCAGACCGCTTCTTTAAGATAGACTCTTAAAGAGGCAGTCTGCAGCTGAAAGAAAGATCAGAGATCAGAGAGTGAAGTTCTTCATCTTGTGCATGAAAGGGCATTCGTAGTGCTTTTTTAATTCAATAACAAAAGAAAAAAATGATACTGAGTGTTAATTTTATCAAGTGGTGGGGTAGCCAGGTTGAAGAGGAGGAGAAGAAGAAAAGAAATGGATGAGTCTGTCTGTAGCAACTGCTTAGCGTCTGGTACTAATTCATCCACTGTTAATTTTGTTAGTGTTGCAGCTGTCAGATGTTTTGTGAGGACAGATTGTGAGCATAGCTACGGGGCCCTTCTGTTGGTTTTCCACTATGCTGAATATCAGGACTGCAGACTTCTGACTTATCTGGAGACTTAGTGACTAATGCAACCCTGATGTATTAAGAGGACATGAATTTTATTTCTGTTATTTGTTATGATTGAATAATTTTATTGGTGGAAGGAAGCTTAGATTTGTGTAGCAAGTAAATGTTGTACCATGTAAGTGATGAGTCCAGAAGGTAGTTAGACAATTCAGCTGCTTTGAACCTTGACCAAATAATTATTTGTAGGGGTGTTATATTGCTACATCAGCATGCAGGAAAAAACACTTGCCTAACAAAGATTTTACTGGTCATAGGTCTTCCCTCCCCAAGGAGCATTCATCCTTCCTTCTCAGGTGCAGAAAGAAGAACTCGAGACAGAGGTGGGACTGACAGAACAGAGGTCATACCAGTTAACACTATTAATTAGCTTTGGAGGGAAACCTAAACAATGCTTGGAGCATTTATCCCCTCTGAGAGGAAATGCCAAGGGAAAGTGAGGTAATGTTGTACAAGATTTCAGGGGTGAAGGAAACAGGATTTTTCTCATTAATTAGGAGTCTTTTTGAGCCTTTTTTTTTTTTTTTTTTTTTTTTTAGATAATATTGGTAGAGAGAAAAATATCTTTTTAGAAAGGATTTCCAACTTGCTTATTTTTTTGCATTTGACTTTTACCATTTAAAGGTAATAGCAGTAGAACACGGTTGATATTTCCTTGGCCAGTTGCGACACATTATTTTAGGTCCCTGTTCTGCGTCCACATG